GAGAGAGAGAGAGAGAGAGAGGCTTCAATAATAAAGTTAAAGTAAAGGGAGAATTTGTATTCTATCTACCTTGTGGAGATCAAGGAGAACATTGTCAAGAGATTCCTGGGCTTGATCACTGCAAAGATGGCGAAAAGATTTGATGGCCTCAATTGCCTCTTCTGCTCTGTTAACTTGTTTCATCACAATGGCCATGTCTTTGAGAGCACTATCCACCCTATCACCATGGTTAATTGCTGACCAGAACAGAGCAATGGCTCTGTTGGGATCTTTGTCCACAAGCTACACCACCCCAATAAAAAATGAAATGAAATTTAGACATGAGGAAATAAAAAATAGGAAAAATATGAAGAAAAAGAAGCAAGAAAGATAACAAAAAATGGTAGAAAGTGAAAATAGTACAAGTTACACCACCCCAAAGAAATGAAATGAAATTTTGGACATGGCGACATAAAAGAATAGACAAAAATATGAAGCAAAGAAGCCAGAAAGACTAAAAGAGTTCAAGAAAGGGAAGACTAGTACAAGTTATGTCACCCCAATAGAATGAAATGAAATTTTGACACGGAGAAATATTTTTAAACAATGAGAAAAAGGCAGGAAAGGGAAAAAAGTGAGGAAAAGAAAGTGAAAATAGGGTGTGAAAAAAGGGAAGAAAGAAAGAGAATTTCTTGGTTTTTCATGACTTTCAGAAATCTAGCCATCGAGTACCTGAAGAAAGCTAATTAAAGAAAGGACAAGATCAAAGATTAATGATAGGAAAAACTGATCAAAACTCTATTTTAAAAAAAAGACATCAATTCCTTGGTGAGAAAAAAACACATCAATTCTTCTCTTCAACATCGAAACCTAAGCAATTCAAGAATCAAATAAACCAAAAACCCACTTTAATATGTAAGAAACGTGAACCAGACATAAACAAGACATGAAATCAAAAGAGGAAGAATGGTCTATGCTACGAGTTGGCTTTCAAATAATTTACTACCCCTTCCACCAACCTTCAATGTCAACAAGGAACAGTTGGGGTGGGTTGTTTCTCCACTCAAAATCCATCAAAGAATCCAGGAAAATTTCAGCGAAGCGAAGAGGCACCCGAATCATTAATTCTAAACAATGGGCAGTTGTGGAGTTGCTAGGCGATTGTTTGGAACCCAATGATAGCATAGTACACAAACCCATGAAAAATTAACAAGCCCATAAAGAAGTCTTCTCATAATTTCTAGTAAAAATTTATGAATTGTTTACCACTATAATCCAAAAGAATTAATAACAAAAATTCGAAAAATGAAAGAAAGGAAAAAAAAAAAAAAAAAAATACTCTCAAACATAAGGCAAGAAACACCACCATTGCCCCCCGGATCAAATTTTGATCCAGAAGAAAACAATCAATACAAACACAAGAAATAATAATAAATTAAATAAAGAATTATACAATTTCCATATATAGAAAATGATCATAAAGATAGCAAAAATTGGATTATTAATGGGTAATTAGTTTGTGAAGAATTAAATACCTGAACATGCTTTGCCTTCACATACGGTGAATCACCAGCAGGAACCTTGTGAAGAGCATGGTAAGGCTCCTGCCTCTCCTGAGCCTTCTGAATAACTTCTTTCTCCGGAGTGCAAGGAGCCGATCTCCATGCTCGGTGGGCTTCCGGAGCTTTCCAGAAGTCCCCCCACATTCTTGCCGGATAAAGAAGAGAACCAACAAAAAATCGCTGGAAAATGGCCGGAAAAAACCAGTCTGGCACCCAAATTTTATATTAAGAGCTCCGGAAATCACCTCACATTCTCGGAAAATAAAGAAAATACCCAAAATAAATGGCCGGAAAAACCAGTCACCGGAAATTTCTGCCTCTCAAGAGGCGTAAGAAATAGAAAGGGTTTTCCTAGAGAGAGAGAGAGAGGGACTTCTATTGGTTGAGTAAAAAGAGAGGGGTGAAGAGAGGTGGCGTTTTTATGGGCGAATAAAAGATAGGTTTTATTAGTCTTCTTTTTCAAAGGTCTTGTAGCCGTTGAGTAAAGAGCCGTTGCATTTCTTTGCTCAACGGATAAGTTCCCGCCTCTCAGCCTTCTTCTCTTAATGAGTGGAGTCGTCCTTTCACTTTCTCTCACTAAGAATCCTCATTCCTCTCTCAAAGGATGAAATCCTGTATTTCCTCTATCTATGGATGAAATCGGGTACTTTCTCTCTCTAAACATGAGATCTTAATGGGTGGGTCTCTTCGATCTCTCCCTGTCTCACCAATCGGGGTACTTAGTTTCATGGATCTTCAACCAATTAGGAATCGTCGATCAAGATCGGGATGGAGCCTGTAACGTCGCCTCTAGGGTTGTTGAGCCCAGCCCGTCCCATGTTCCATTAGGGTTTTGGTCCTAAAGATTATGCTGCTCTGTAAAAAAAAATGGCCTCTAGCCTTGAGGAGATGGTAATACGTTGAGAAAATTATTTTACATGAAGTATTCCCCTTGGATCCGAGAATAACGACATGAACTAAATGTTATGTCCAAGCCAAAGAATTTACTTCGAACAGTCTTGACAAATTAGCCAAGGAATTTACTCCGAATAGTCATGACAAATTATGATTAAAATAGAATTCAGTATTTTTTAACTACGAAACGCTTAGCTTCCATTTGGATTGTAAATGTAACCAACCCGCTATTAAAGAAATCGCAGATAGAAATAATAGAAAAAGAGCTCCAGTATAAAGATCCTCATTGGTCGGCAAGTAGATTGTATACCACCACTAATAGAGGCCGGAATAAGCGATATTCACAGCACCCCCTCGTGTTGGACCGGACCTAATAAACTAGAAGGAAAATGAAAAAGAAGAAAAAATAAAATATAAATAAAAGACCAGCCAACCCTATGAATGGCCCTTGTCCAGGCCCAGTCTTAGGGACACATTTTGTGAGCCTCAGTTGGGACTGGGTGGCAGAATTAAGAATTAGCTTGATACTATGTAATCTACATTATTCCCTATGTTACTAATTTACCCTAATAGTTAGAGTAACTTACAGCATATCCTCCCAAAGTTACATTTATTTAAAGGAAATAGTTTATATAGAGCTGAGGCTCTAAACAATCAAATTTGAGCCTAGCTCAAAAAATTCACTAAAAGAAGTTGTTTTGATGTTCAAATATCCTCAAATTGATCATCTCGACATCAATATGCATGGACATGAGAAAAAAAAAATGGATTTCAAGTTTTGGAAATAGTGTTTTTTGTAAAGCATTTTTTTATCGTCAATTTTCAAGATTTTTAAGTTTTCATAGATCTATTGATCTACACTATTTTTTAAGCTTTAAACTTTATAAATAAATATGAAAAATATATTTTAAGGTTGTCACAAAGATTTTCAGTATTGAAACCACATTTCTCGACTATATTTGAAGGTAGGCTCTAATTTGATTGTTTAGAGCCTAGGCTCTATACAAACCGCACCCTTATTTAAAAATGAAAAGTTTATATAGAGAGGCTCTAAACAATCAAATTTGAGCCTACATCAAAAATTTCACTAGAAGAGTTTGTTTTGATGCCTACATATCTTCAAATTTACCATCTCGACATCAAGATGCATGGAAATGAGAAAAAAATGGATTTCAAGTTTTGAACATCATGTATTTTGTAACACAAATTTGGACCGTCTAATTTTAAGATTTTCAAGTTTTTATAGATTTGTCAATTTACACTATTTTTGAAGCTTTAAAATTTATAAATAAATACAAAAATACATCTTAAGGCTATTACAAAGATTTCCAATATTAAAACCACATTTCTCGATACTATTTGAAGGTAGGTTCTAATTTGATTGTTTACAAACCGCACCCTATTTAAAAAAGGAAAAAGTTTATATAGAGTTGAGGCTCTAAACAATTAAATTAAAGCGCACCTCCAAAATTTTACTAGAATAAGTTATTTTGATGCCCAAATATTTTCAAATTGATCATCTCGATATCAAGATACATGGATATGAGAAAAAAATGAATTTCAAGTTTTGAAAATCGTGCATCTTGTAATGCATTTTGGACCATTAATTTTCAAAAAAAAATTAAGTTTTTATAGATATGCTTGATCTGCGTTATTTTTTAAGCTTTAAATTTTATAATTAAAGAAGAAAACATATTTTAAAGCTCTCACGAAGATTTCTAATATTAAAACCACATTTCTCAACACTATTTGAAGGTGCACTCTACTTTGATTGTTTAAAGCCTCGTCTCCAATGTGAGTTTACCCCCAAATGATCACCATTAAATTTTAACACAGATCTCTAAAAAAGTTATTAATAAACTTGTTCACCAAAGTCCCACATCCATATGATAATTTTTCTAGATATCTTTTGCGGTCTTACTGACATGGGTGTGTGAAGGTCTCGTGGTGTCATTGTTCTTATAAAAAATATATTTATATTTTATTTTTTAAAAAAAAACCTTCTTTATTTAAATTATATCCATACCCAACATTTATTTTAACACGGCCCTATTGAGGCCGTAATGCCCAAAAACTCCTCTTGTAAGCTTCCCCTAGGTACCATGGCCCTTTAGAGCCGTGATGGCCCATTAAAGCCATGATGCCCAAGGAGTTCTTTGGGTACTGTAGATGCTTTAGATGCATAAGACGGAAAGGGCCTTTGGGCCTCACGCCCCCTTATGCAAATGGGGGGCATTTTGGGTTAAAAAAAAAAGGGTATATAGATGTAAATTTAAAGTTTTTTGGGTATTTTTTTGAAAAATATAAGGATATTTTTTATAATTGTCTTTTACGTTATTATATTCCTACCCAATATTTCCCCGGGCGAAAATACTTCAGGTCTCTCTGAACCTTGGGATGGTAAAAATCCGAACTGTTCTTTATCTCATTCAGCAAGCTAGCGAGCTTGCCTTCAGGCTTGATGAAGGCTGCTATAGAGAACTTCCATTGAGAACTTCGGATTTTGATAATATGGAGTAAGGGTAATTTAGAAAAAAATAAAAAAGATAAAAATCATTATTTTGATTTTTTAATAACGGTAATTTGAAGGGATATGCATATAACTCTTATTTAAATTTTTTATCAAAATGCACCTAAAGAGATCAATTATATAAGGACCTGGATTCTATGCGGCCAAGCCCGCATATGTAGAAATGCGGGGCCTCTTAATAAATATATTTTTGAGATGGATTTTAAGACTTAATTTTTAAAGACATGTAATCTCTAACATGGACATCATGAATATGAAAAAATAAATGATTTTTAAAAAGTATAAATAATAATTTTAGTAATAAAACATTTGGACCATTAGTTTTCATTGTTTTTAGATGGAACACGTACTTGCATCCATCTTTAAGTTGGATGCTTTACATTTTCTGGACTGCATATGTAGAAATGTGGTCCAACCCGCATAAAACAAATTTCCACTAGTTAATGTCTTACTATTTATTTTGATCTAATTGAAAAAGTCCCATCAAAATACACATGATCATGTGTTTGAATAGTTGAAAATTAGTAAAATATTAAGGAAATGTATACACTGAGACCATTTATTTTTTTGGAAATGTATACAAGGTGGTCACAATTAATCTTGATCATTGGATATGAAATTGGGTGGCTATATTTATTACATTGACCAAGCTCAAAGTTCAAAAGAATTTTTCTCGAATTTTATGATACATCCAATCTATCAAATTAATTATGATATTCTTGTATAAAAAGTAAAGGGTGCGGTAGGCATAGAGCCTAGACTCTAAACAATCAAATTAGAGTCTACCTTCAAATAGTGTCGAAATATGGTTTCAATATTGGAAATCTTTGCGATAGCCTTAAAATTTATTTATTTTTTTATTTATGAAACTTAAAACTTAAATAATAGTGTAGATTGACATATCTATGAAAAGTTGAAAATATTGTAAATTGACGGTCAAAAAATGTGGTACCAAATATGCTATTTTCAAAACTTGAAATCCATGTTTTTCTCATGTCGATGCATCATAATGTCAAGATGATCCATTTAAGGATATTTGGACGTCAAAACAGCCTCTTCAAATGATATTTTTTAGGTGGGCTCTAATTTGATTGTTTAGATGCTCAGCTCTATATAAACTTTTCCCAAGCGTAAATAGTCTAATTGTATACAATCCATTACTTTTTATATAAGAGGGTTATAATCATTAATGACCGTCAGATTTGGAATTGGGTAGTTGCGAATGTGTCATTGATTGGGTACAAAGTTCAAAATAAATTTTATCAAATATCGTTGCACATTTTCATCTATTAGATTTTACCTCTAATAGCTAAAAATGATTGGGACCTATTTATTTCAAAAATAAAGATCTCATAATATAGAATCCCGACTGTTAAATAGTTGAAAAGTTATACGTATTTAAATCAGTTTTACAAATCTTAAACATCTAACGAACATAAGAGATGTGACCCAAAAACTTTTTTTCTTCCTTCATATTATTTTTTGAGAAAGGTTTTTATACTTTCCCTACAACATAGAAGATCTATGCTTCCCTTACCATCCAGCCGTCCAATTTTGATCAAGAAAGACATTCACCGTTTGATCTTTAGAACCGATGTCTCAAAATATTTTATTTTTAATTTTTTTATATAAATTGTATGAATATGAAATTTGGTAGTGTCATCTTCTCATTGGGGCGTACCTATAAAAAACATTAAAACATAATTTTTCGATAAAATATAATGACCAAAATACCCCTTGAAACATTAAGGGGTATTTTGGTTTTTTTATTTTATTGGAAATATTGTCTTTATATTTTTTGTTAGTGTGAATTTAATAGATGATTGGATGTACAAAATTTGGTGTTAAAATAGTTAATACAAAAAATTAAAAATAAAATAATATAGAGATGTGATATTATGATTGGGGCAATCTTATCCATTCCAAATGTACCGTTGGATAAGGGAAAATATACAAGTTTTATGAAGCACTCTCTTCTTCTTCTCTGCCTCTTTTCTTTTCTTCTTCTTTTCTTTCTTTTTTTTTTTTTTTTTTTAATTCCATGGTGGATCGCCAAATCAGTGGACTGACGGGTACGACCTTGAGGATGCAAGCGGTTCCTACTAATTGCTGAAAGAGTCTTTCACGTATCGCACCTTTTTTTTTATTACCATTTAATATTATTTTTCACAATAATTACAAGGAGCTCCCCTCCCCATCCCGAAGTTGCCCTGGTGTCCATCAATCACATGTAAAGATTAAAGAAGGGGGCGTACTCCTAGGGAAGTACAATATGAGTTTACTCTCTCGATAAAAAAGACCTGGACAATTTATTTGAATTTAAAATTTGGAACCATTTAATAATCATCAATAGATGATTATTTTCAAAAGTTAAAATTTGAAATTTGAGTTTTCTAACATTTAGATCTTACCTTTTTAAACTTGGACAGTCTCCATTCAATCTTAAAACAATTATTTTTT